GGCAGCCAGGGCCCCAACCCACGCCCCTGTGGGGCTTCTTTCTCGTCTTCTCCCTCTCTGGGCTTCCTCAGAGCCCACCCGATCCTCATCTTCCTGCCCCCTGCCTCTACCCTCTCTGCCCCCAAGCAAGTGGGTAACAGGCCACAGGCCTGAGCCTCAGCTGTATCTGTTGCTATGGCCTCTGTGCCGCCGCCTCCCTTGGGACACTGCTTCCCAGTGGCTGTCATGGGTTGCCTCCTTCAAGCTGGGGTCCCTGGGGCTCCAGCCTCAGTCCTAGCATGCGGGGGCATCACCGGGGTTTCAATGGCCACTGCCAGTGATTCTCAGGTGGACAGCCTCACCTAGCCCCTTGCCGATTTCCTCCTGTGTGGCCACAGACCCTTCAGACTTACCACCACCCTAACTAACCTAGTCGACTGCCCTCCCCTGACCCCAAGACCCACGTCTCCTCCAGGTGGATGTCCAATTGAGGGCACTGCCGTTGACACTCAAGCCTGGAAGTTCATCTTGAATCTTCTCCTTCTCACGCCCTACCTCCACAAAGGGACTGGAACTAGCTTTTGCCTCCTTACTATCTCCCCTCGGCCCCTGCCTTTGCAACTTCCCCTGCCAATACCTTACTTCATGCAGGTGCCCCATCCTCTCCTACTCGTATCTGACTGACTTGCCCTGCCCAGAGCAACACACCCTCTAACTATGCTGCTGGCAGGATCTAGGGGTGCCCACAGGGCTGTCACCTCTGGCTCCACCGCCTTCCGATGGCTCCTTGCAGCCCAAACACCTGCTGCCAACCCCTCTCTCACCGCCCCCTACTCCTGACTGTGCCCAGCCAAGAGGAAGACTTGCTTCTCGGCCCGAGTGTGATGTGGCTTTACAGCAGACACCGTACTGGTGGGGAGAAGCTGCGTTTCCACTCCTGTAGGGAGCCAAGCCTCGGAACCAGCCAGGGGCAGGTCTAGGCGGCTTTCCACTCCTGTAGGGAGCCAAGCCTCGGAACCAGCCAGGGGCGGGTCTAGGCGGCTTTCCACTCCTGTAGGAGCCAAGCCTCGGAACCAGCCAGGGGCAGG